AGAGAGAGACAGAGAGAGAGACAGAGAGAGAGAGAGAGGGAGAGAGAGAGAGAGAGAGAGAGAGATCCAAGCAAGAGCATAAGTGCGCAGTTCGAAAAAACCATATTCTTGAGAAATTACAAAACTGCACTCACGCCCTTCATACGCTTTGCCCCGACGCGTTTCGCTACTGGCGTATACGACAGACTCATTAGGGGGCCAATCTTCAACGAAAAAGATCTACAAGATAAACCACGAGATGTACCATCCCTCATTGTCCTTCCTTAAATACTCTCCTCCCCTACCTATTCCATTCGTGTGTGTACCGTGAAGCTGCCTGTTAAGAAACTCATTCGCGCTCCCTATCCCACCACCCTCCATCAGTTCTCCCCCCACTTGGTTCTCCAGAATTCTCCCATATACACTCGTACTCACCATGTAACGCCAGCTGCCTTCCACGATCGCTCCACGGGTTCTCCCTCTCCGACTGCTCAAATCGCTAGTCTTTCCATGTCTTCCATGCGTGCACGCTATCTCGATTGCCCCTACTGCTTACGCGCTTCCCTCTGCGGATGAACTAACCTGAACAATGTCTCCCCCATTGGTACCGATGATACTTAATATATCCCGCCATTCGTTCCGATGCGTTCATCTGTCAAAAGGTAGGGGCAATTCGATCCTTCACAGTGTCTTTGCCAAATTAAACTCGGGTCGGTCGGGCTTGTAGTCGCAGAGTTGCCTCGACACTTCCCAAAAAAAGCTCACCGCGGCAGATCCGTTAAACCACCGGGACAAGCGGCCTATTTCACAAAACGCAGAGTTTCTTAAAAGACCCAATTCTGGTAAACATTCTATTTTTAGGAGAATGAAAAAAAGAAGCAAATTGCAGCATAGATCCGGCAGGAAAAAAAAAAAAAAAAAAAACAAACACAAATTGGTTTCAACTCCGATGCCTGCCCTATATCTTCCAAGTAACCTCCCCACACACTAAGTTCGTTACGTGCAATCATTCAGCAAAACCGGGTTAACCCCCTCACCAAAAATCTAGCAAAACGGGGCTACCCTCCCCAATCATAATAACTAGCCAATCCGGGGTACAAACTGGAAAGAGTGTCTTTCCAGTGACTCCCGGATACTTTAGCAAACTTTGCTAAAGATGCGAGAGTGACCTCCGGGGGGTAATCCCGAAGGCGCGCTTCCATCGTAATAGCAGTGATCGCCGCTACCGTGGCTTCGTCCGAGGTCGATGATCGGGACATTCTCAACATATTTGCTTACAAAATGGATTTCTTGGTTGATTTTTTTGAAAAGGACGCAAAATCCTGCTTTGACTGAACCTTCAGTACCCACGATTCGGAGAGATGACGCTGGTTCCGAGTTTTGGGAGCAATGTGCACGGTAATCGACTCAGAGGTGATGCGCATTCTAGCGCCCAGGAAGTCAAATGCATCCGTGCCTTCATCTTTCCTAACAAGTGATAGACTCCCTTCATAGCATGCTTCAAATTGATCAAGGACCCGAACAGCTTCACCTTCGGACACTTCCTCACCTAGGTTACAAGCCGCAACTATGGCTACGTCATCTATCATACGTATCCCTCTTACTAAATCCCGGTCCCTCCCAAGCGACTGCAAAAAAACGGATTCAGATCTCATGCAAACCAGGCAAGCCAAAGCCGGGCTCGAACTCCTACCCATGGGTATACCCGAGGTCTGCCTCAAAAACTGGCCTGCACATTGTACGTAAGTATGGTTAAGTTCAAAACCGATTGCTCTCATTATCATGTCGAAGCTCGTAATGATAAATCCCTCACTCCTCCGCAGGTTTCTTGCCCTCATACAAGGCTCACCCGAACCCCCCTCATACCTGTCCCTTTATGTCTATCGATCACCCAACTTGCCACACTCAACACACTCTGATGTGTTAATTTCGCGAACATATCTTTCACATCATAGCTCCTCGCTATCCCCCCGCTCGCTTTCCCCCACAGATGTGTTTGAATGCTGCGACATTTCTCCCTTAGGTTGTCTGTGGCCCGTAGATCGAAGTGCTCGTCGTCGTTGAGAGCGAACAACATGTAACGAACAGCTCTCCCCACCCTCGATCCCGCGAGCCTAGCCGGGTCATGAGCCGCCGGGGAGATTGGTCTCCATCTTCCTAAATCTTTATCTTTAGGAATGGCATATGCTTGTCTGATCTTCCCTCATTTTCCCCACGTGGCAACGCTACTCATCCCTAGGTCGGCATACTCTTCCTTCATTCGTGAAATGATCTGGTCCTCCCCTAGCTCAATTGGTTTGTAACTCAGGTTCCAATTGAAAGTCATCTGACACGCGTGCAAGTATAAGACCGGGCAGATGATTAGAGAGGCGCAGGGGTTACGATAAATCGGTACAGCAACGAGATGCGCGAACATCGCCGACGCATTCTTCACTTCCTCGCCGCCCAGCGCTCTTCTCTCCGCAGGAACCCCTTGCGCATAACACCCGGCCAACTCTTTGTCCTCAATTCTAACCGGAACGTTGCTACCCCACGATCTCACGTCTTTGGCTATGTATTCCTTCAAATCGGCGACACCGATATCTTCTCCCCATGTCACGTTACGAGCATTCTTCAGAAACTCAGGAATTCCCGGCACTTCGTCCAGCCTTACCTTTACGTGCCCATCAACTTTCGGAAAATCAGTATTGGTACACGTGCAAACGACCTCCTTCACCCTGGCGCAAGACCAGTGATTGTGAAGAAACTGTCCTACCGTCTTCCTCTTCTTATGGACAACTCTCACCCTCCCTGCCACATAACTCCCAAGGCATGAATCCGTGATCCTATCGCGAAGAACTCGAGCAGTAGCTTCCCTCACTTCCCGTGTCTTAACTCCGGTCGAGAACGACAATCTCACACATGGTCTCTTCCTTACTTCCACCCCAAAGACGGCCCGAATGGCCTTATTTATCCTAACCTTCAAGAGGTTCCGTGTCGCTTTTCTCCCGAAAGTGCCAGCCGTCCTAAACAAGTTCAAAAGTTCAGAAGATTTCTTCCGATACAGATCGCGGATCCTCCATGGCATTGCCAAAAGGTCATTCAAAACGCACCGTCTGTGCTCAATAATCGAAGAGGTAAACTTAACTCTCACCACCTCAAATACCCCTCCTTTTTCAAGATGTACCTTACTATCTTTAATTAGACGGTTCGACCTTTCCACGTTTAACACTGTATCCCCGATCTTATTCCTTACGTCCTTCCACCTATCCGTCCAGATTCTTCCTCCCGTCGAATGAACCACCTTCCTTCCGTGTCTACCTCTCATTTCTTTTACGACATCAATGATCGAAGGTTTGTTATTGAAGGCAATCAATCTCCCGGGTATGGTATGTATTCCTCTCTTCCCCCTCTCTCTCTTCCCTTTCCTTCTTCTTCTCTTTTTACCGGATTTCCCCCGGCCCTGCGTGTTCAAAGCGGGAGAAAATCGGTTAATCAGCGAGGTTTCAGCAGCTACTGGATCATCTAATCCCACGTGCAGAGGAAGAATCAGGTACTTCTGCCGCCCAAATACTTTGAGCCAGGCGTGGAGTTTCGGCGCGTTCCCTATCCTACCTGTGATGGCAAATTTCACATGCTCATTCCACCTGGTGAGAAAACTTCGGGTGGTGCATCCAACGTAGAAGTGTCTGCACCAAGGGCTAACCAGTACGTATACCCCTGAGCTCTTCAGCGAGAAGTTATCATCACTCAGTCCAACCAATCCAATCCACTTTCTTGCCCATGTACATCTCCCTTTGATCACATACAACATAAACAAACACACGATCTCTTCTTCAGTACTGGCATCTAACGAGACTCGCCCGGGTTCCACCTTCCTCCCCATCATCAACCCTTTCAGTCTCTCCAAATACTCCATCTCCAAGGGCTATCGATCTAATGTTCACTTACCAGAAAGAGGCGAGGCTTGGCTCGGTTCGGCAAACTCATTGTAGGCTAATCTCGTCCTGCACCTGACCAGTTCGGTGATTGCCACTTCCTTCTTTGTCCATTCAATGCCTTCCTGGTTGCATATCTTCCGAAGCTCGGGAACTTTTTTGGCCGAGAGCTGGCGGTGCAGACCCAGAACATACTCAAGCATTTCTCCCCCCGCTGCTCCGTTATTCGCATCCTTTCTCTTCGGCTGGGGGGTGTGCATCATTCCGGGCAAATCGTCTTCCACATTGATCACAACAGCTGCTCTTGCGGGTCTCATTCTTGCCGCGGATATCCGACCTTCCCACTCTGGTACTCTCTTCTTACCCTTCGGGCTCTCAATCGCTTCAATAAGTTTCCCCGCCTCTTCTCTTACCTCCTCGCTATCATCCTCGGACTCGTCAAAGTAACTCCTCATTTCCCTCAGCACCCTGGCCTTCGTCCGTGGAGATTTCTTCCTCGGCCCCGAAGGCATGCTATTGTCCGTGGGTTTCCAGTGCTGAGTCAGCAATCTAACCAACTTAGCTTCCAGACGAGCTTCCCTAGCTTCGAATTCCCTTATCCTATCTGCCTCTTTCCTGCTTTCCTCCTCTCTTCTCTTTTTCTCCTCATACTCCTCCTCCCTCTTCTCCTCTTCTTTCTTCTGTTTCTGGATCTTCTTCCGAAAATAAGCTTTCATCTCATTCGTTATCTCATCAGTGCCCTGCGTATCCTGTTGTTGCAATCCTAGCGTGGGACGACCGTTCCCAGCGGCCCAGCAATTCCTAGCGTAATGCCCTTGCTTCCCACAGAGGAAGCACATCACCACACCGGCATGATTCGCTCCATTGTTCATCACCGGAGATCCGAAACCATTGTTCATCACCGGAGATCCGAAACCAAATCCCTGGTTCTGGGCCATCCCAAGTTGTTGAGGGTTCGCCATCAAAACCCGCCCATCTCCTTCTCCTTTCTAGTCTTTTTCTCCTGTAATGTCTGTTCCTAACCAGGCACCCAATACTATGAATGCGTCCCAAAATGTTCTCCAACTCGCTAACCAACTCTTCCTTGGTACTCCGATCTCTAAAAAGTAACGCTACAAAAATCAAGGGCGTCAAATCCTCCTCAAATATCTTCTGAAACTCAAGCCACTGCCTCTCAAATTCTAGATCTCTAAAATTCCGAGACGACATAACTACAACAACTTCACAACTTCCTCCACGTAATCCATACACGAATTTCAAAGCACCAACCACATCTCCCTCTCTCTTCCTTCAAAGCTTGAATCAAGTAAAGGCATCCAACTGCAAACACAACGAAAACACTTGCGCTCTTCAACCTCATCAGGTTTTTACCCACCATAACCATCGATCGTAGACCCGAAAGACGATCACACTCCGGTCTTCGTGCGGCGGTACGCTGCAGGTATCAACAGAGTGCACATAACCTCATACGACACAGAGCACCTTCTCCAATGTCCACGGAACCCTACCAAAGATTTCGCGGAGCACCTCCGTACAGCGCACTAGACACCTCCACCGAGATCGTAGCCACCGCTCGATACCATAATACGACGGTTACCACGCTTCAAGACATCCAAGCAAGAGCATATGTGTGCAGTTCGAAAAAACCATATCCTTGAGAAATTACAAAACTGCACTCACGCCCTTCATACGCGTTGCCCCGACGCGTTTCGCTGCCGGCGTATACGGCAGACTCATTAGGGGGCCAATCTTCAACAAAAAAGATCTACAAGATAAACCACGAGATGTACCATCCCTCATTGTCCTTCCTTAAATACTCTCCTCCCCTACCTATTCCATTCGTGTGTGTACTGTGAAGCTGCTTGTTAAGAAACTCATCCACGCTCCCTATCCTACCACCCTCCATCAGTTCTCCCCCCACTTGGTTCTCCAAAATTCTCCCATATACACTCGTACTCACCATGTAACGCCAACTGCCTTCCACAATCCCTCCATAGGTTCTCCCTCTCCGACTGCTCAAAACGCTCGTCTTTCCATGTCTTCCATGCGTGCACGCTACCTCGACTGCCCCTACTGCTTACGCGCTTCCCTCTGCAGACGAACTAACCTGAACAATGTCTCCCCCATTGGTACCGGCGATACTCAATATCTCCCACCATTCATTCCGATGTGTTCATGCGTCAAAAGGTCAGGGCAGTTTGATCCTTCACAGTGTCTTTGCCAAATTAAACCCGGGTCGGTCGGGCTTGTAGTCGCAGAGTTGCCTCGGCACTTCCCAAAAAAAGCTCACCTCAGCAGATCCCTTAACCACCGGGACAAGCGGCCTATTTCACAAAACGCAGAGTTTCTTAACAGACCCAATTCTGGTAAATATACTATTTTCAGGGGAACGAAAAAAATAAGCAAATTGCAGCATAGATCCAGCAGAAAAAAGAAAAAAAAACACAAACTGGTTTCAACTCCGATGCCTGCCCTATATCTCCCAAGTAACCTCCCCACACACTAAGTTCGTTACGTGCAATCATTCAGCAAAATCGGGTTAACCCCCTCACCAAAAATCTAGTAAAACGGGGCTCCCCTCCCCAATCATAATACCTAGCCAATCCGGGGTACAAACTGGAAAGAGTGTCTTTCCAGTGACTCCCGGATACTTAAGCAAACTTTGCTAAACATGAGAGAGAGGGAGAGAGAGAGAGAGAGAGAG